CTAAAACTCTACCGAAAAGTGAGTTTTACCAAAATTTGGGTTTTCAAGCTGGTTTCAACTATTAAAAAGTTCACTTTTCACTCAATAAACATCGGAACGAGTTCAGACCTTCAGGATATGGTCGATTTTCTCCGCTAAACGTGATTATACGGTCGAAAAAATCGAAAAAGAATGTTTGCATTAATGGGTTTTCCAGAAACCCTTTTGGAAATCTTAGTGTTTTGTAAAATTTTTTTAAGATCTCCTATAAATAAGATATAGAATAGCTTAAATACTCTATATTCTGAAGGGTGTGTGAATCATCTATATAGCCCTCCACCCAAAAAACTAGATAGATTTACAAAATGAGTCATACCCAGTTGACAGCCGCTGGTTCGGACGTCCACGGCGGACGACTGTTTACCTCTGAAATGAATTGAAAACCTTTTCTACATCAAGTATGGCCTTGCTGCTTTGTAATCAGATTCACTAATTAATCCTTCTTTATGTAGCTTTAATAAGTAACGTGTTAATTTATCTTCTTTTTGTATTGTGGGATCATGATCTAATTTTTTGAATTTTGTTGAATCGGATAGTATATTGTTCATTTTGTTAATATAGTCGACCTTGTCCATGATAACAACTCCTTTAGATTTATCTGGTTTGGTAATCACTATTGTATGGTCATTTGCTAATGTTTTTAGTGCAGCAATATATTTTCGAATGTTGTTGTCTGATTTCGTGAGATGTTTTGTAGTGTGATGTCTGAAATTATCACATAAGGCTCGAAATTTTGTTGCAGATTGAAGCTGTTGATTATTTAATTGTAATGGGGGCGGCTCTATAATTGTTTCCCATTCGTCACATTGTGGTTGAATTTTGTATAATCTTGCATAGAGAAGTTCGATGTCGGCTATTAATTGAATATGATCTAAAGAGGTTGGCAGAAATACATATTGTAAACTCGTATTGATCTTTTGTTAGATCTTTTGATGAAAGATTAATAACTATATTATGGTTAAATTGCTGTTGTTGCCGAGTCTGCTCTTGTCTCTGCTGGCGTAATAAATCAAGTTTCTTTGCATGTCTCGTATGCCAAGGTAGACTTTTATCATTTTGTATAGATTGTGTGATAGCCAACAATGATTGAAAATCAGATGGATTAACAGCTTGTTTTAAATTTTGTTTTAATCTTTTAACAAATCTGTGTGTATGACTCAGGCAGTTTTTCTTTAATTTGATTTCTGATTGAATTATAAGTTGTTGACATTTTGTATAAGATTCAGATGATTTGAAATGTTGGGAGGCAACTTTGATATGCGTAAATTTCGGTTTAAGATTTTCAGCTTTGCATGTTTTAAGAAACTGTAAATCAAGTTCTAATTTCATAAGACAAAGGTTTTGATCAATAAAAGATCGAAATAATGGAAGAACTGAGTGGTCATAATACCGCCGGAGATACGTTACAAAATTATATCGAGAAATGACCAAGGATAAATCAGTAGAAGTTGTTTTTACAGCGGTTTCAATAAATTTATTTTCTTTCGACGTTTCGAGTTCACATGAACTCATTTTCAAGATTTGAAAACAAAATTATTAAAAAACGATTACAAAGCTAAAAATACAAAAGCTTGTCGC